ATTTATTTATGTAGCTTTGGCCCGGTGAGACTGGACGTCTTCTATTCATGGGTATGTTTTTCTTATCTTTTTATGCTAGGTTATTTTTGTAGTTTTTATTAGTTTAGTTTGGTGTGGCTGTGGCTTCGACTGGCCCACTGTCTCACCTTTAGTTTGGTGTGGCTGTGGCTTCGACTGGCCCACTGTCTCACCTTTAGTTTGGTGTGGCTGTGGCTTCGACTGGCCCACTGTCTCACCTTTAGTTTGGTATGGCTGTGGCTTCGACTGGCCCACTGTCTCACCTTTAGTTTTGATTGGCTGGCTCACCAGGTCCATCTTTTCTTTGAACTTTGAGTTTTGTTTTTTGGTTAGTTTGATTTTTTTTTAAGACAATGGTTCTTAATTTTTCTCTTTCTTTCTTTTTTTTGCAGGAAAGTTTTGGTTCCTTTTTTCTCCTCAGCTAAGGTTTTTTGGAGGACATTTAATTAATAAAATAAAGTTTGATACTTTGTGTCCTCCTTAAATGTGTTCTGACCCTTCTGTGTGTCAACAGGTCGTAACATCAGCAAACAAAAACTAGGCCCTGTCAACAGCACAGTGTCTGTTTACACTAAAACCCCTCTCTCTTTTAAAGTCTTTAAAGTCTCTTTTCCATCCACACTGATAAAATGTCCTCCCAAACAACTCTTGTTTATACTGCTGAGGAGACACAGAAACATCCTGATTCTCTCCCTTTTCAAAGTAAATAACTGTAATTAATCACACAGTAAATAATAAGACTGTGTCTAAAATTCACTTAGTCACAAAATTTCCTTCAGTATTGTTGATGATGATAATAGAAATGCAGTAAAATGAAAATTTCAGCCAATATCGACATCTGATATTATTGGTGTTGTGGCCGATAACTGATATTTACCAATATTTACCAATATTACACAAACACACAAATTATTTAAACACATACTATATGCACAAACATCAAACAATCTTTGTTTAAATCCATAAAAAATGACTCGGCTCTACTTCAGTTATTCCTGGCTGCAGCATCACATTCATGATGAGAGACCACTCCACCAACCATCCCCCCTCCCAGAACACAAACACAAAAATAAAAGTGTGAAATCAATACTGGACGTTAACACTGGCCCAGTTTTACTTATTGGGTTGATACCAGTGTTAATGCTGATATATCGTACATCCGTAGATGATTATAGTTACGATGATAATGATGACTATAGTGATGATGATGATTAAAGTGATGACTAAAATTGTGTTAATGGTGATTATTGTGATAACGATGATTGTACTGTAGTTATGATGATGATGTTGTCGATGATGATGATGATAATGATGATGATAATGAGTGGGGCACTGATTGATAGACCTGTGCTGACTGGTTGGTTAATCCAGTTCCTTCTAGGTCCAGTACCTCCAGGGTTCTGCTGGATGCCACGGTGACGGCCAGCATGGCTGCGATTTGGTCGCCTGCAGACAGAACAGGAACCAGGATAATTGTTGGACTCAGAACCATAATAGGACCTTTGCTGTTGTCATGGTAATGATGCTGTTGTTACCCAGAGGGTTGTAGTCCAGGTTCAGAACCCGGAGCTGCGAGCTGTGAGCCACCGCGATGGAGAGTCGAGCCCAGCCTTTGGAGCTGATTCCTGGATTGGCACTGAGAGTCAGCTCCCTCAGACCTGCAAACCCACAGAAGATAGTAAATATTTATAATCTTATTACTGTTTACAACAAAACTACTAAAACAGAAGCACAAGGTTGCTGAAGTAAGACAACCAAGGCTGAGGCCGTTCTGCAATGAAGACAGAAAGCAGTTAAATACACAGAGAGAGGAGGGATAAGTGACAGCCCCTGAGCTGGAGACAGATTACAGATTACAGATTACAGATTACAGATTACAGATTACAGATTACAGATTACAGATTACCGACAGGTGACGTCTAGGAGGACTACAAACCTAACACAGGAAGCTGACTGAGGACAAACGAGAAATGACACCATGCTCAAAAGCATAAAAGAATGAAGATTATACGAAACAAAACAGAGATTCACAAGGATAATTAAATAAGTTTGTGAACAACCGAACTAAAGAAACCAAAAGATCCAGATTAGGACAGTGGTGCCATGTTTCAGCATGAAATCCAAGCAGGTGTGCACAGAAAGCTCCTGGTGAGGAAGAGCTATAAGACCTGTTTTCATGGTAATGAAGCTGAGCCTGAACATCTGCTGATGGTTTCAATATTTAACTAGAACTGCCAAGCAGTTATGACTGGGGTCCAAGCCCGTGTATACATGTCCACCTTGGCCCACGTCGTCCTGAGCATCTACTGATGTAATGAAGCTGAGCCTGAACATCTGCTGATGGTTTCAATATTTAATTATGTCCTGACTGAAAGTAGAACCGGAGCCAGGTGAGCTGAGCAGGTATATCAGCTGACATATGTTACCTGTGTGACCGGAGCAAAATTTAATTTTCTGCATGGACCAATTATTGTTCTGGTCCTGAGTCTTTCAGGGGTTTCTTACCTGACTTGGCTCCATCTGGTGGCAGCATGCCACAGACCAGAGCCAGTGCCTCGTCTCCCAGCATGCAGTCTCCCAGGTCCAGACAGACTAGGGAAGGGTGGGTGGACAGTACTGGGTTCAGGGTTACCAGGCCGGCATCGAGCAGCGGGCTACCATGGAGGCTGGAGAGACAGGGTAAGAGTGTGACCAAGCAGCTCAGAACCTGTCGGTCAGACAGCAATAACTGTACTCACAACAGGGTCTGCAGGGACCGGTTGGTCTTCAGGGCATCCGCCAAGTGACGTGTGCGGCTGATGCTAGAGACCACGCCCAAATTCAGGTTGAGCTGAGCAAGCGAGCGTGACTCTGCAACACTGCGGCAGACCCGTTCAAAGTCCCGGTCTGAGAGCTGACAGCCGCGAACGGACAGCAGGCGGACTCCGTCTTCCTTCAGACTCTCACAGATGTCCTGGACTTCGGCCGCTGACAACAGCTCCCCAGTGATCTGGATGGAAGCCGGCAGCATCTGGACACTGCTGGTGGGCTGGGGGGCCTTGAAGGACTGGGAGTGATGGGAAGGCAAGCACTAAGCAAGTGTAATGTTTAAAATCCAGGGCTGAACATCATGTCCCCACAGAGGACAGAAATGAATTGATGGGTCTCAGGAGGAACACCAGCTGTAACTGGATCTGTAGGAACAACAAGGACAGGTCAATGAAATATTCATGGGGGGGGGTGGGTGTTATTGAGACCTTTGTAGGTGATGAGGAGTGTTTTGTATTGTTTATAGTATTGAACAAGGTGGTCCCTGGTCCCTGGAGCAGGAGTGAGTCAGTGGAGTTTCTGCAGAGGCATGGAGGACGTCCATGATGGAGGCTGTTCCAGTGGTTAAGTGTCAAAACGTACCTTAAATACCTTTGATTTATTTTAACTGCATCCTCTTTTCTTTATTTCATTTAAACTGATTTACCTTCATGGACCTCCATCACACATGTTTCTAGTGGGGAAATGACATCAA